GAAATAACTGTCACCACCAACTAAACAATAGTAGTATCTGGTGAAAAGACCATACTTATTATAAGTACACTTATTGGCAGTTTGACAAGAAGGAATGGTCTTTTTGTCTTTTTGTGCACTTATCACAACATGTTTTAACGTAATAAACGCAAGACTTGACTTGATGCAGAATCTCTCTAACCTTTGTAAGTTCTACCTTAGACGATGAAATTACTCTATTTTTACCTATTTAATGTGGTCGCGATAAATATAAGCGTAATTAATATTTTTTATCTGAGCAATTTCTTCATTTGAATGTTTTTATGAGTTTTTTTTAAAACATTACATTTATGCTAATAATGTCCATCTCTGACACCTATTTGAAAATACTTTAGCTCTTTTTCCAAAACCATTAGTGAAATTTCAACACCGTCAACATGTCGTCATTTCCTAATTGTTTATAGGAATTTCTCGTATTCAAAGCTGTACAGAAAAGAGGAACGTCCAAATGAGGGCTCAACGAATTCTTATATTACCTATTCGTATGTTGATTAAAATTCTCAAAAAGTTACTACTTAATATGAAGCAACATAAAAACGTCGAAATTAGTTGCAAAACGTATTTCAGGCATTTCTGTAAAGTGAAACTAATTTTCTTATTTGTCTTCATTAAAATTCTTTTAATTAGAACAATGTTACTTTATGCAGATGCTAAATTTATGATTTGTTATTGGTTTTCTTTTTATAATTAGAAACTTCACCGACGGCGCCTATTTTTTACTTTAAATATTTAAAATTTTTTGTAATTGTTGACCGATATATACTATTTGTGTCAGGTTGGAAGGTCACTTTTCAGGTTGCATTTCATCAAAGATTTTTTTTTACGAGCAAATCATACAATATTTAAACTCGAATTTTGATTACGATATCTTGTTCATATAGGTATTTTTGCATTATGGAAGTTTGAAATATTCAAAATTAACGTTAAAAGTTTATGAATTTAACGAATTGAATAATTTTAACAAATTTACTATAGTTTATCAGGTATGCCTTCGAACTGGAATATTATTAAAATGATTATATTTAACATTTCAAATTATTTTTTTTTTTTAAAAAAAAAAATGGAACAATGTAATACAAAACTTTCCAATTTAGGGTATCAATTTAATATTCATGATTTAATGCAGATTTACCTTATTTAGATGCCCCGATAATAATTGATTATTTGGTTATGATTTTTGTCGGAAAAAATATATGCCTATATTGAACGGATCTGATAACTT